CAGCTGATGACTCCCACTTTGTACTGGAACCAAAATCTCCAGCGTCTGCGTTTTTGACTAAACCGTGCTTGCTAATGCCTTTATCGCCATACAAGTTTGCCTAAGTCATGATTAGAATGTTATCAAGAAAACAGACTTTAATGCTGCAATTGGAAAGCGATCAGCTTAATCCGCAGACTTATTCTTTTAGAGCTGAATAGCAGCTGTCAGTGCAATGCACTTGTGCTGCTGCCTCGACTAGCATTTCAGGCTATTTAGTCATTCGTTTCACACTGTGCCGACAAGTATTTCTGTAAAAACATATCTCTTAATTATTTAACAAACATCTTTCAATCAGCTCTCTAGGAAAGGATTGTTGAATGGGAATCTGTGTTCAAATGTCTGACTGTGACCTTGTCTCGCCTCATGTGGTAAACTGGAGCAGTGGCCAGCGATGATGATAACTCCTCCTTAGGGAAAGCGGATTCTTTGCAGATGGATGTGAGAATTAAAGCAGGGTTTAATTAGCAGCAGCAGCGACAGCAGTTTTGGTAAGTGTCGGTGTGGATCTGAAGGCCATCCTTGCAGCCATGTTACACCAGAGATGCAACATTAAAAAAAAAAAAAAAAGTAAGCAGACTGCTTAATACCTGAATTATGGTTCTCTTTGTGAGAACTGCATCAGCACGCTAAGGCCCAAAGTTAATTTGCAGCATGCACATATTTGGAGGAAAGGAGCTCCACTGGCTCTGAGGAAACTGAGGATTCCTCTAAACTGTGTATTTTCTTAATTATTAATAATCAGTAAAAGAGAAAAATCCACATGCAGGATTTACATAATCACATTGCATGATTATGTAACTGAAAATGTACAAGTCAGTACACAATCCACCCTCTTTAAACAGTTTTTATTCATTCTGATTGCTTTATTCCGACACACATTCCAGAAGATGTGAGGAATTCGCAGCTGTCCTCCAAGGTGCATTTGTCTTCTGTTTGCCACAGCAGAGCAACAGGAACCACGTTCCAAATCCCATCGCTAGCTAAATAAATGATGAGGATGTTTTAAATGAGTCATAGCCGATGGAAAATGCAATGAAATGATTCATCCCTTTAACAGGTTCGTTCTAAGATAAACAAGCACTGGCTGATATTAAAATATATTTAATTGTAAAATGATTACACTCTGCAGTCTACCTGAATATGCTTAGCACTAATTTGTGTTTACTATTTTTTTTGTCAAAATAAAATAAATTAAAGTTTATTAACCTTTAACACGCACTTTTTTCCATTTCATAAATATAAAAGAAGATTCTTAGTGTCTGTCATGGGACGGTGACTGCGCTACCACTGCTTTATGAGGATAAATCTCTAACATCTTATTTTTCTTTGTTTAGTTTTGTTTTAAAAACACAGAGCATCAAAATGTTGCATGATGATAAGGTTTACTTTTCAAATTTTAAATAATTAACAAAGCTGTACACGCAGGTTAGATAATTTATTTGTATTAAGTGATAACAAAAACATCACCTCGAGGAAGAATAAATTCTACTTTAGGCAATATCTTTTCCCTAATTTTTAAAAAGTCAGAATACAACAAGTCATTTTTTTGTTAATTTTGCATGAGACAAAAGGCTTTGTTCCTTCATGATCCAAAGATATTGTCTCTGGCAACGTTGAGCAAAAATATGGGCAGACTTTCTTCTTCTTCTTTCCCCGTTTTTGCATAACACATCACAAAGGTGTGACCAAAACTACAAGAGCAACAGAGAGACTTTTACTGTCTTTAATCATATGTTAATAGCAGAGCAGTCTGACAATAACAAGGATGCCAAAACTCTACCTTACAGAAATTCATCAAATATAAATAGTTTTGTGTCACTGTGACTCCTTTCATTTGATCCCACTCTTTTATTTTTTGTAAAATGTACTCTGGCTTAATTTTCTTTTGTTTATAGACGTCACAACTGATATCACAATTTGTTTTCTTGACAGAAAAGATAAGAGATGTCTTAATAAACCAAAATAATCCTGGATCATTGTCTGTTGGTGTGGAGCGGTTTGTTTCTCTACTGCAGTAAAAATAGGAAAAAAAAAAAAGACGACTGATGCATGCATTGAACTGTTGCAATCCTCTCACAGTCATAAAACATAACTCTCAGGTAAACTGGTCTCTCTAAGTGGTCTTTGGCTATGAGTGATCAGCTCTCTCGCAACCCTGCAAGGACAAGCGAGTATATCAAATGGATAAGTGGATGGCGTTCTATAGATGAAGCATTATGTTAATTAATTACACACAGTCTGAGGTTTTAAAGCCTTCATTTTTGTGAATTACGGTGATTTTCTTCTTAACGCTAATAAAATTACCACTTAATGTCTTAGAATATGAGAATAGAACGGTGCAGAAATGTGAGTTCAGTGAAAAATATGTTTAATTCCTGATTAAAGGTCATTTTCAAAAGATCCTTTGAATCTGAGAAACGACCGTCAGCTGAATGCATACTCCAATTTATACGTTGTACCGAGTGGTTTGTTTCTCTACAGCAGCATATTTGGACTTTTATGCATTCTTCAGCTGGAGACATTTTTACCTTGTTTCATAAAAAAAAAAACAACAACAAGAAAAACAGATCTTTTGACTCAGAGTTGAGTTACACTGTGTAAAAAAAAAAATATTTGTCACTGCAATGATATAATACTGTTTTTGATATTGTCAGAAAATCTCAGTGGAAACAACCAGAATGTAAATGCATAGTGTTGTGGGCTTAATTAGAACAAGCTGTTTAATAAACATCAGATCTGACTGCAATTGGTTTCTTGATTAAATGTAATCAATAAGGCAGTTAGAATCAAGGTGTTTGACACACTGGCAAGTTCACACTCTGTAAAGATAATCAAATTTAAAGCAGGCACCATGGGGAAATGACACTTGCTTTAATTTTCATGCGAGTGTTGTCTCGGCATGTGGGCAGAGGCAATTCTCTGAGACTCCTTAGTTCATCTGAGATGCAGCGCAAGAGTGCTCTGACCTTGGCAGTCTTACCTGTAATTGCATTCACACACACACGCACACACACACACACACACACACACACACACACACAGTTGCACACGCACACACACACACAACATTTAGATGCACATACATGCTTGCATCTGACAAAACCATGCACTCTGCCTCTCCATCTTTCTCTCCCGAATACTCTCTCTCGAAAACGCGCAGACATACACAGTCGCCCTCCCTCGTCAGTCTGAATTAGGACTAATCAGCAGGTGAATTGTCTGTGGAGGCGCTGATCCATTCGCAGTGACCTTGTCTAACTGTGGTTAGCAGCGACGGTCACACACTCAGGTTGTACTGTATGAATAAATAGACGGTGCAGTCCCATTTAGGTAAACAAATAAAGACAAAAGTTTTGTCTCACTGTACGCCACAAGTTTCCCTCCAAACAAATGGTCCGATTACACTTAGCAGCAACTCGCTGCGACTGCATTTGCATATTAATGGAGAAAACCCAATTTTCAAGCACCCCGTTCGTTATTGCTTTGAGCTAACATTGCATCCAACCTACCAGCGTCCATCTGTTTTGTGACATGTTGATACAGACATGTTTGCTAATTATTGCATTAATTATCTGCACTAATGAACTCATTTGCATCACTAGATGGATTAAAGACGTTCTGGTAGCAGGAGAACAACAGACAGCAGGGAAGTGTGAAGTGTAGCTATGGATATTGGCAAGAATTCCTGAAAACCTCCGAAGGGTTTAAGTTGAACAATCTGGCATGAAGTGGTTTTCTTTTCACACCAGATATGTAAACACGCTCGTATTATTTTTCCAATCTTCTGCAGGGGCATCACAAAAGTATTTGTGCTCCTTGAAATTTCCAGTTGAACTTTTTCAGCAGTTTCCTGAAGAGTGTCAGGCAGTTGTTTTCCATCCTCTCTGAGATAAAACTTTGTAGAACAAAGCGCTGCAGCTTTCTGTACTATGTTGTCGATAACGTTCCACGACACTCTAGAGTAAAATGATAAAATGCAAAAACGCTTTTAAAATGTTGCATGAAATAAACTACCATAGTGCAGTTTTCTTATTTCCCTTTTGGGATAAGCTTGTTATATACATAAAAGTAGAGATTTAAATGTGTAAAGAGATCAATTGCAGATATGAGCTCCTTTAAGTGTAAACATGATAAGCTACTACTGATTCCACTCATGCAGGTTTAAATAAATGCATGCAGTGGTCAAATTGTACTCAGAAGTTTCATACTTCTGTGTATGAAGTAAAAAAAAAAAAAAAATCCCACCTGGACTTCAAATGTAAGCCTCTACATCAGGCCTTAAGACCCTCTTTGATGTGAGGTTTGACAACGAATGGCTCAGCTTTCCACATTGATTTATTCAGACCGGGTGTTACTCCCACTATATGACAGGGCTAAAGGAAGTTTAAGAAATGGAAATTTCAGTTTATTACATTTCACACTTAATTACAGTTCGAAATGTGCACAGTCTCAGTGCGTCTGACTGTTCATATCCATTTCCCATTTTAAGAGGAAATCCATGTTAAGGTTCCATAATGTAGTTCTCACCAGAAATTGCATTTTTTTTTCTTTTATTTCAATTTACAGTAAATGCTGTAAACATCCCCCATTCTTGTCAGTTACTTAATTTACTTGAATTTCACTGCGTTGTTAAAATATCCTTATCCCAATATTGAAAAACATACATGCTTTTTTTTAACATGCCAAAAACTGGATATGTGAAGAAAAGCAAAGAATAACTACCTTTTTTTTTTAATGAAAACTGGAGAACATCTACAGCACAAACACTGCATACTTCTTTAAATAATTTTACTCTATGCAATCTGTTGATGAATAAATGAATAAGAAGCAAAATTCTTCATTTATTAACCCCCACACCAAAAACAAACGACAAGGTCGTTCTGTGTGTTCTTCAAACGCTGAATAATAATGCCGTCTCATCTGTTATTCATCATGCGGTCTCTTATTCGCTTTCTTAGAGTGAGAACCTTCCCCAAGGATTCAGCCTTATTGGGCAGGGATACAGTTCGGGCCCTCATGTACTACGCCCTGAAGGTCTGGAGCGACATCGCGCCTCTGAACTTCCACGAGGTGGCCGGCAGTGACGCAGACATTCAGATCGACTTCACCAAAGCGGACCATAATGATGGATACCCCTTCGACGGGCCTGGGGGAACAGTGGCACATGCTTTCTTTCCTGGGGAGAGGTTCACAGCGGGTGATACACACTTTGATGACGACGAGGCCTGGACCTTTAGATCTCCAGGTGAGGAATAAAGACTCTCTGTGTCAGTTTAAAGCACATGTGCTTGAACATAAATGTGTTGGGTTACATGCTGAAGGAAAAATGTGGGTCTAGGAAAAAAGGATATACAGTGGAAATCTGGTAGACATTTGCATGAGTCTGTAAAACAAAAACGATAAAAAAAATCAAACAAAAAGCATTCGGCGTCCAGAAAATCCTAAAGAAAAGTGCAGCTTTTATGTTTGAAAACAAAACTCTGACTGCACCTGCAAGGCAAGCTGTGCTTTTGTCTTGTCTGGTCATGATCCAGATTTTATAATTAGCATTTCATTTGTTTGAAGTAACAGTATAACATTCGATGGCCTGTGTGTGGCAACTAAAGCGCCGCTGATTGTTATCACAAGCTTATTAGGAGACATAAAAGGTATCCTTTCATTTTCCACAGCTGCCAGAAACAAAATAACTCACACGTACGCGCCTGCTGATAGCCATTAAATCTGTTTTTAGCAATCAGCATAAGTAATTGAATTTCACTGTCAGCTTTCATCGATTCCAATTCGTTTTGCCGTGGGGTTCTGTTACATTTTGGTCTTTTACCCTCAAGTTGTGTGCAAGACAGAATGCAACTTACTTTGATGGAATTGGGCATTTTACATAGATGGTGTTTTTTTCTTGTATTATGTCAGGAGCAATTTATCTGTGCTAGAATTTGAAGCAGCCTGGTGAACAATAAGGTCGTCTAACAACTTTGCCAACGTGTGGTCGTCAGAAGGAGGGCACAGTAAAACAGGAAGTAGATTTCCATCACGTTTTAACACTGTTTCGTTCTCAATCCTTTAATTTTGTCGTTTAAGCGAAGATAAGCAGTTCACACAATTCTGTGGCACTCATATTTGAACTTAGTATTCCATTATCTGCTGTCTCAGTTCACATCCAATCTTTGTCCTCAGCCTGCATCAAGGGAAATGCTCAGTAAACTGCAAGACAGCACTTTCTAAATAATCATTACCATACCTGCTACAAAGAAGTAATTCTTCATCCTCCGTCAGAAAGTGGTCCTCCAAAGTGGTTAAGTGCTTTGAAAGGCTTATCATGAAATATAAAGTAATTCTTGTACGTATTTTAGAGCCATATTGTGCTAACATTTTCTCTGATGAACTAGTCCTCGGCACACACTGCTCACTGATTTAAGTTTATATCGTCATTTCAGTGAGGAAACTAACCTGAAAACTTCCCTCTGCACCCGGCAACTGGACACGGAGACATTTTGCAGACTGCATGTGTAGATTTACTCAGCTTGGAGCTCTCCAAGAGCTCCCTCAGTGCCTTAATGTGATCTAAAGTCAGTGCGTGATGACTGTAGTCATTCAACTTACATATTGGGAAATGTGGTGGAGAAGCAAATTACAAGAGAGCTGAAACCTTACCCCACATAAAAAAAAAACCTGCATCTGCTGAATTTTTTAGTTAATAAAAGAAACATAAGACCAACACATTTGCAATGCTGCTGTATGGTAAACATAAGGTTTTTCTGCATAATAATGCCATATGCATCACCATTCAGGGTGTCCCTCTACGTGTTTCTATAGTTCCTGTGAATCCATTAAAGAAACAGAACGAATAAGCCTGAAAAGAGAGGTAGAGACATGAGAGCGGATGACTTGCTTTTGAAGTGAATGTTTAATAATAAAGGGAGACGTGCTTGTTGTATCTGACAGCTCAAAGTGTTGGCTAAAAATACTTTTAATAAGATCCTTTGAAACATTACACATCATGTAAGCCACACTGTTTAGCAGAATGCTGCTGACCACAAAACAACCTCAGTGAAGGAACTGGATGTATTTGCTCAATAACTGCAAACTTCTTTGGCAAAGTAGCTTTTTTTGTTGTTGGAAATAAATACAGTAAAACTTGTATTAATTTCAGTTTGTGACCAGATTTACTTTATGATTCTTAGAAAATAATAGGGGGAAAATGAAACAAACAAATTATATGAGAATTGTGTAAATGCTATGATACTGTGATGAAGACCCAATTCCTACTTTGAAGCACTGAAGTATGTTTACTTGTGTTTTGGGGATGAAGACCCAGGAAGTTTGGTCAGAACCAATGGTATGATGAATGCAACGTCTGAATAAACACTGGAAGAAGAAAATGTGCACTCATCATTTTGGAGGCTTGGTAAATAATGACGTGGACGTGATCCAAAACACAAGGCCGGTTTAACCTGCTTCTGGCTGCAGCAAACATGTTGAAGGTCCTGGATGGCCATCTTCGTCTCCTGTCATTGATTTAAGAAATTTACTGGAATTAACAGAAACAGGAGGTGAGGTTTCTAGCCTAGAAGAACGTGGAGCTTTACTGTGAGAAAATACCAAAATGTGGAAACCAGAAAGGGTTTCAATTGGTCTTGATATTTAAAAATGGTCACTACATGGTAACAATGTATTAAGGTAGGAAGTTCCTGCTGTCAGTATGATTTAAAGGGGTAGACACAATTGCTTAAACATTCACCTAGCCACTCACCAAGAGACAGAGAATAATGTTTGCAGTGGACAGTTTTGTCCAAATTCCCTGAAAAATGGTTCCACAAGTCTTAAAGTCTTAAAGTAATGTAAACTTAAGAGCAAAACTGTACACTTTGTTTACTTTAAAGGTGCGATGATACATTTTTACTAACACTATTACTTAAATTTTGGCCTGTAAAAATAAATGCTCTAACAATAAAGCTTCATTTAATATTTACTTTTTACACCCTTATCCATGGGTTTAAAATTTCTGTGACAAATTTTAGTACTTTATGCAAAAAAAAAAAAAGATTATTCTAACTAAAATAATTGCAAAGTGTTTCACTAAAAATTTACATATTCAGCCACAAATTCATGAATTGCATCCATAGATGTTTTGTGGTTCTTGGCAGAGCATTAGCAAGACTATCAGATAACCTCTGCAGAGTTTCTCTCTTGTTTACCTCCAGTGCATAATTCTTCCATCTCCCCCTCAGATAAGTGCCACGGATGCACTGGTTTATCTACAAGATTCATCAGTGCAAGCCACCCTCTTCCATCAGGCCATGGTCTCACTCTGCTGCCTGCATTCCCATTACAGGCGTGAAAGCATCCTAACATCCAGACAAGCAATAACTACTTTGTGCTATGCATGAAAGTCGCTGCATGTCTTCCCATGTGTCTCTGCAATAACTAGTATTAGTTTTTAGCCATGCATCTCTCTTCAAATTGAACCACACAGGTCAGGCTTTACTCCCTGTGTGGATCATTAAGTTCCTGTGTCCGTGACCTTAGCCGTAATAACAGACTATCATGGCATCTGTTAGACATCTAGTTTACTGGCCAACGCCGCATGTAAAAACCAGTGTAGGAAGCCGTACAAATACTGCAGTGATGTACAAAGTAGTGTGTAATTCTGACAAAGGGTTTTATTTCTCTTAAACTGTAGCTCCGTAGCTCTATTTGGGGTTACGGCTCCACAAGTTTTGCACCTGTAGGCACAGAAATTTGTCTGGTACTATTTGTAAAGATTTGTTTTATTCATTTATTTTCAAAGGAAGAATTTACCAGCAGTCTTTTGTTGGTGGCATTGAACAAGGATAAATATTAAGTGCCATGGTTGTTAAATTATTAAATACTGGAGAATCAATTAAGCAAACCAAAAATAAATAATTAAAGCTACATGCAGCGTTGGAGGCCCTCGCAGCTCAGCGCCGCTCCGGCCAGAAACACCACCCACTTGCCGTCGTCGACTGTCTCGCGCAGTTAGATAAACGATGCACTCCAATTTGTTGAGCACTAGATTTTTGAGATGGAAAAATCTAGGGAGTGCAGTGGGGCATATTGGGTTGACAAAGGTCAATTATAATTATAAGTGGAGGTTATTCTACTTTGTGGGTGAAGTTTGGTGTGTTTTTAGATATAATAAGCCCTCCAAAAAGCTGCATACTTTGTCTGAAAAATAATAATTAAAAAAAAAAAAATCCCATGATTACAAGAGGCCTTCGCAGCGCTTCACTGCTCTGGGTTAGTAAAAATGTGTTCAAAATATAGAGAGACAGCCTAAGTGACTCATTACCTCATCATTTGTATATCATAATACAAGATGTTTCTCCTGTTTTTTTTTTAAATATTATCTATGTTTAAGCAGTTCTTGACTTAGATTTAAAATCTAAATATTCTCAGCATTTTTACGACTACAGTCTGGTGTATGTAAAACCTCTAACCTCACACACATTTTTTGTTCTCTCAAGAGTCCGATCTAAAAGCCAGAGCGAAAGTAAATATGATAATGATTCACTTGAAGCGCTATAGAGCATGTTTTACAATTTCTTCATTTGATTCAGCTATACTAGCACATTAGTACTTGCCCGCAGTTCGAAAGAAGCATTTGTACTCACAGGGTTTTATGAACGTGAGCAGAACAGAAAAGAGGAGAGGGAATCACATGTGTATTTTTGACCTATGTCTGTTCATCTTTTCGAATCGTACAATTATCTCGAGCCGTATAGAGAACTAGGACAGAGAAAATATTTTCTATCTCTGATCTGAAGTTTCTCACCAGCAGTGACAAGACGGCATGCTGTGCTGTTCAAGAGAATAAAACATGTCACTTGGCCTTGTTTGATTTTACTTCTTTCAAGGCTACTTTCCACTCTGTGACAGAAGGTGGAACATTGCTTTGTTAAAGCATATAAGACATTTTCATTCAGATGCTGTATGAGATATGGCTGAATGAAATATGTCCCTGTGAGATTCAAAGGGAATTCAGACGTCCTAATACAATTAATCAATTTCTTTACCAATCTGGGGACTTTAATAGGCAGTTGGTTGCTCTTTATTTTATTTCACGGTTTCAGATAAAGGATGCATAAATGTGAGCTGCTTTTTTGAAAAAACATTAAAAACTGGGTTTTTAATGTTTATGTTGGACCTTTTACACCAAATCCCAATAAAATGAATTAAAAATTTTGGGGTAAAAGTGACAAAATGTGCAAATGTTTATGTGATAACAGGTTTCTTTCATCTAGCTCATGTAACTTTTTAACTCCCTATATTCACAGTGTCTTCACTCAGTTTTCTGCTTTATTGCTGCTCCTAATGGTTCCTTTTAAGCATATTTACAATTTTCGTATTTGTTTTGGGTAGCATTGAGTGCTAAATGTGATGGAGGGGTAAATTTGTACACATTTCACACACTCAGGAGGCCCTGAGCATCCCTGGCTTTCCAGTAAAGCCATTTGTCTGTTTAGCAAATTTTAAACAGTCAACTTTTTCTGTCAGCCGTGTGTTACATGCTTAAGAAATTACTATAGTCAGAGCTGATTAAAATAATGAGAAGGAAGATGGAAACAAAACTAATGGATACTCCACACTTTACATGCATAAACTTGGAGCAAAATGGAAAACTCGCTAAAGTCAGGCTAGTTGGACCGTCTGCAAGCATAAAGGTGGATCAGTACTGACCTCAGTGCAAGAGGAAAGTAACCTTCATGACAGCCATGATGGAATGCTTATAAGACAAACTGAGATATTTTAGTTATTAATTGCTACAAGCTAAGGCTTTATTGCTAAGCTCAGACTGTCCCACATCTTTTCTTTTATCTGCCAGGCATTTATCCTGGTAATCAAGGACATGATAGCTGATTTTAACCTACAGCCAAATCTCAGAGAGAAGTCACCCCAGAATGCAAATTTAGTAACTTCAAATTGGCTTTTATGTTTAGTAACAATGCCTGACTCGGTGCAATGGGGTACAGTGTGTTATTGGCTGATATCTGCAAATTTCTGCAAATATGCATCAGGAAATTGAAAAATGGCTTCCCAAAATGTAATTAATGCAATTTTGAACAACCGTCATGCTTATATTTGTCGACTTCATGTTCCACTCAGTCCATAGCTTGATGACAGTTATGCAATTTCTAAGGTGTACCATAATTTACAAGTGAGAGTTTGAGAGTCTGAGTTATAGTTTGGCTTCACATTTCAGAAGTCTGCTGGAGTTCATCAAACTTTGATTATTATTTCAAACTATCTATTTCTCTAGAGACTTTTTTTCATAAAGTTTTAATGATTCAAGTTTCTTTCAGCAAAGAAATGTCAATATTGGGTTTTGAGTTGAACTGAAGATGGGAAGACAAATAAGACTTTACTTTCCAATAATCTAGTACCTATGAGTTGTGCCATGCTTATTTCATGGATTAAACATGGAGCAATAAAAAAAATGTTTTCCTTGAAAATGAATCCCTTTTGTGCAAGAACAGTCCTTTTTCTTCTGATGTAAGATCAGGATCATACATCCTGATCTTGGATTATAAATGACTAAATGGAAATAAATCAGCAGAAATAAACAGGTTTTTCAAATAGGGGTGGGTTGTTTTTTTGGGGGCAAATTGTGGTTTCAGTTTATTAAATAAAAAAAAGTTTCTTCATTTTATTTACATTTTTTTTAAATAACTGAAAATTATTTATGTACTTCTTAACAGAATCAATAATTGGTTTTTCAATTGCATCTTTATCAGGACCAGCTATTGATTTTCTCCTATGTTAATAAATATTTGAACACCACACTGGAAAAAATGTGTCTTTTTGTTCATTTTGTTACTAGTGATAAAACATGATGTTTTGCTTGTAGGCTTACTTTATGTCTAAATTAAACTATGGAATCTATAGTTTACATTTTTCATGTAGGTATTTTGTCAGCAAAGTTGTTTTGGTTTTTTTTCTTTATCTTTTTTTCCCTCCTGTTTGTTCCATATAAACTCCAGTCATCTCCTTTACCAGCTCTTTCCTGCTCAGAGTCTTGGGGGAGCCAGCAGGCAATGAGTAAACCAGTTATTGGTTCATCACAGAGCCAATGCATATGAAAAATGAATGTTCATGTTTTTGAAATGGACCTTTTTTTTTCTATGATGCAACAGTGTTAAGAACTGTGGCAACGTTCAGTGATGCTGTTCAAACTGGTTAAGTCTCGTTCATCCTCTAGAATTAAAATGACATATTTTCTTCTCAGGCCCTGCTCTCTGCCTCAGTCTCTACTTTATATCCACCTTTCCTGTCTTCTCCACATAGTACCGTAAATTAGACTTGACTTTTTAGCCTCTGGATGTCCCAAACGCTGCAAGCACAAGCGCACCTCTCTTCTTGCCTTTTACTTTCGACGGAGCACGGCACTAAAATGCTTCTAAAGTAAAGCCAGAGAGAGTTTAACAGAATGTAGATGTGTTCCTAACCACCAAAGAGCTCTAAGCTAGCTTGCCTTGACACGCATGCTCTCACATGTTTGCAAATCTTTATCCCACCATCCATGGTTTTGTCTTGCTTTGCAGAAGCAGACAAACCGTTTTTGGAAGCTTTCCATTTTTTTGGCCCAACATCCATGGAAATGTGCTCTAATGGCCTGCAGCCTCTTTGGGTATCTTTCCACACATAGATTTTGATTGGCAGCCCAGGGGCTCAGGCAGTATTACCACAGTTATCTCACCGCAGCACATCCCAAACAGCACTCATAGCCACCAGAGCTGTCTGTCACGTCGGTTAGTTTGCAACCCCCAGACATCTGAACACTGGGAAGAAAATTCAAATCTACCCTGAGCCGTTTCCACTAAAGACAATATTAAGAGACATTGTGATATTTATCGAACCTGCGATAAGTCAAAGGTCGCTCCTCAGGGAAGGGTTCTTAAAATCTACAAAGTGAGATGTTTGGGATTTTATTCGTCTTATTTGAAGGGGATTCTACTGCTACAAATGAAGTGAAAATCCTCTGTGTGTTTTACAAACAAAATTATTTCAGACATTTTATGAAAAGCTCTGTTTTAAAGGATTTTCTGAGTGTGAAACTATTCACTTCAACTTTATTCAGACTAACTTTTTTACATTTTGAACTAGAGATAAGCAAAATAAGTCCAGACTCATTCAAGCAGATGAAAACTTTAGCATTGTTCTGGGCTAGCAGTTACCCTATCTGTGATATTCTAAGGCTGCGTTCACACTGCAGCCTGAAGAGACTCAATTCTGATTTTTCTTTTTTGACGTAATGCGACCTGTGTGATCTTTTCATGACATTCTGAACAGCACAGGTCGGATTCTTTTCGAATGTGACCCATATCTGACACGTATCCGATTCAAATGCGATTTAACGTTCAGGTCGCATTCATCCGAACTGAACGTCACTGATTCTCAACAAATCTCACTATTCTGCATCCTGATACGCGCAAGCAGGAAGAAAAACAACAACCATGACGGACTATAATGAGGATTAAGTTGTTAATATGGAGTTCCGGCCGGACAACAACTTCAAATATGTAAGCTAAGCTCCACCGTTAGCCTCCATGTTTACTTCCGCAAACACTGAGCACTTCTTCTTTTTATGGCAGTTGGCAGAACACTGAGAACGCTGACGCTATTGCGCCCTCTACTGCGCATGCGGGACACTTTAAGGTCGTTTTCCTGTTCAAACTGCAGAATGCATACAGGTCGCACATGTTTGGTAGTGTGAACGGCCCGGCAAAACAATCTGATCTGACAAAAAAAAATCGGAATTGTGTCACTTAAGGCTGCAGTGTGAACGCAGCCTAATACTGCTCAGAAATCCTCAGAAATCCTAACTTAATTTCGGAGTGGCCAACATGGTTCTAGGCTAACGTTTGTTTCAAGGTTTGTAATCCTAAGAAAAGTCTTAAGTCACTTTCTCTATGAGTTAAAATGGACAGATTTAGAGCAGTTTCTATTTCCTTAAACTCAACACACATCTACATGTACAACCACAGCTACATGTTTTCTTACATTTCCCATCTTAAGAAGGGGTTTGGACAAATATCCCTGTTTTACATAAAACAAGATTTTATGGATTATAAATTAAATGGCGAATCACACTCTGGTCAATTTAAAACTATTGCATGAATTAAGAAAAATAAACGGACATTTTAGATATAAATTGTGGCGATAACATTTCTAACTAAATTCATATGGTTTTCATACTGTTAGATTATGCTTCTCCAAATCAGAAAGTAGTTAATTTTGTGTATCCATCCAGGGGTGCTGATACTTTTAAAAGGCACAGCATTTATCAAATAATAATAATAATTCTCATTGCCTCCATGTGTTTCTTTCAGACTCCCATGGGATGGATCTGTTTGCAGTCGCAGTTCATGAGTTTGGTCATGCCATCGGCCTGGTCCACACCTCAGCTATGGAATCCATCATGAGGCCGTACTACCAAGGTCCTGTGGGAGACCCGCTGAAATACGACCTGCCGTATGAGGATAAAGTCCGTGTCTGGCAGCTCTACGGTAAAAAGACACCTCCATTCTCTCTGTTTGTGTGTGTGGGTGTGTGTGAAAGGACACTATTGACTCCAGTGGGTGAGGTTATTGATTAATGAGAACATGGATGGAGTTAATTGGAACTCTTTATGGTATATGACCTTATCATACCATTCCCTGCTATGGAGAGGACTGCAATAGGGAGAATAATGATCATGAAGGGCTGCATGAAAGGTGGGAAAGATCGTTAAAGGACAAGGCTGCAAGAATGGATGGTTTCTTTTAAATGAGGGAAATTAAAGATAAACACAAGCATAAAGACAAGAACGACAAACATTGTTGCCTCAGATTGATCGCAAAAGATAAAACAAACAAACAAAAACAAAAAAACATCTGTCCTATTGTTGCCATTTTATTTATATGCAATGAATCGACCAGACATTTCTTTACATTTTAACAGCTGTTGTCTCTCTCTCTGGAATAATCGTCTGAAACATGCAGGTGTCAGAGACTCTGTGTCTCACACGAATCAGCCAGGCAGCCCGTCTCAAACCCCTGAGCCTCCCGTCCTCCTCGACCTCCCTGAAAACAGATCCACGCTCCTGTAAGTAAGAGAGACACCTAAGAAACAATGTCTGATCTATACTAATGTCTTCAGCTTTCATATGTTCCTATTGTTCTCAACTCAAACTAATTTGATGAATCGGTATTGGGGAACGTTTTACAAGAGGTTTAGTTTAGTTTAGGTTTAGCCAAATAGCCAAGTTATTTTATGGTGATTGCATGTGATATAAACATCAGCAAAGAAGAACATGAAAATTACAAAATTACAAATGAAAAAAACAAACAAATCTGAAAAGTGTGGTGGGTAGCGTGGTGACCCAGTTGGTAGCAGTAAGAAGGCCCTGGGTTTCCATCTTTCATGGTTCAGTTTGGCTTTCTTTTTGCTTCTTTTTTACTCTCTTTTATAAGGGTGTTAGAGAAATAAATAAACTGCTATTTATTTTTTCTTTAGATTTTTGTTTGCAAAATTAGTCGAACCCTTCAAATTCACATCTATGTCCACTACAGTTCCAATAAGATGCACTGAGGTTTTTGGTTATGAAAAAGACGAAAAGGTATTGCAAAAATATTTTGTATGACACTGTATGAAATGACAATAAGGAACTCCTCCTCTAATTATATGCAAGGAGTTTAAAGATTGACTGAATCATGTCGTTAAAATTGTCAGATTCAGAGATTACTCATCTCTTGTGCTGAAGGACATATTAGCATGCTCAAGGCGATGTGCTTCCACATACACATACATGGCGTATCACTGCTAATTTCACTTTTCAAATTGTGTGACCGTTTGGGCATTAACTCATCATTTAACTTCTGGGCCAAATAATGAGTTAAGTCTTGAGAAAAGGGAACATTCCGGTCGGAAATGGCCCAATGAAGCACAAAATGATTGGTGAATATGTATTAAAGGAGATTAAACTAAAAGAACAGGACCGATTCCATCACAGTCACTTTTTGTATGTAGCTTAGTAGAGAATTTTTGACTTGAGCTTGAAGATTGGGCACATTACAGTCATTAGCGATCATCATACATCATCGGACTGGATGTGTTGTCTGAACAGAAGGGCAGTAGACAGGAAGGATATGAAGCATTTAAAAGTCTTTAACTCTGACATTTTTTACATTATGCAAGAGTGCACTGTAAATGTATTAACTCAAATTCTTCCACAACCTCTATGTGTTTTTTTATTTTTTTTTATTTATTTATTTAATGTGAAAGACAAACATAAAGTGGTGCATAATTGTGACGGAAAATAAGAATCACTTTTGGGTTTAAAGTTTTGAAAAGTGTTCTGTCCTTTTTACTTGATCACCCCTAAATAAAATCCAGTGATACCAAAAGTCAGTTAAATTATTAAATAGACCCCAACTGTGTATAATTTAAATACAGCTGTTCTGATTCAGATGCTTACAGAAAGTTGGTGAACAAAGAATATCAGGACCACAGCAGAGCAGATAAAGTTCTGGAGACGTTTGAAGAAGGTCAGATTATTAAACAATGTCACAAGCTTTCAATATCTCACTGGTGGTTATTCAGATTGCCGTTTAAAAGATGACGAGACACAAAGCCATACCTGTCTGGTGGTGGCAGCATCATGCTGCCAGGAGTTGCTTTGCAGCAGAAAAGGGATGCAGAGATGGGTGAAGCTGTTACATTTACTCACTTACATTTATTAGAGTAACATTTAATACTTCTTGGAGTACTTTTACTGCGCCATACTTTTTACTTTTACTTGAGTAATATTATTATGAAGTATTGGCTCTATTACTTGAGTACAATCTCTAGCTATCTTCTCTAGTATATATCTTCTCTAGATACACACTTACAGTTTATGTCTGAGTGAGACTTATTATCTCTATCTGTTGAGACTTATTATCTCTATCTGTTGAGACTTATTATCTCTATCTGTTGAGACTTATTATCTCTATCTGTTGAGTCTGCTGTACCATTTGAAGGTCAATTGAATATATAGGAAACGATATATAGTCTCAGCTGCAGTGCACTCGACGTCGAATGCACCAACTGTACCTACTGTAAGCACTGGTTTCAAAAGTTTAATGGGGCGAGTAATTTGAAATTGGAAATGTGTTTCTTCTGTCTTGATGTCATTTTTTTGTGTATTTATTTTTCTTTAAAGAGATGCTACAATCAGACTGCTATTCAGTCCTTCAATAGGCATTTTAAGTACTTTTTTTCTCTCTTGAGTCAGTTTCCGGATGACTTTTCACGTTTTAGACATTGAGATTAAATCAAAGAGTGTGGCCGTAACCTGACAAAAGGTGCACTGAACAGTACCTCAGCATTACAGTACCTCATTGTCTTTCACTTTTAGCTGTTGCCTGTTTTAAAAAGCAGAACGTGTCTCACGTTTTATCTCGGTGGAGGCTGTTTCCCTACTAATAAGATGCAGAGCCCTGTGTTTATGCATCATCGTAAGACGACTGTATGCTGCATGCAGACTTCCAATTTGGTAGCAGTATGTTTGACCATATAAATAAAGCTGCGTACTTAACCACCTTTAGTAGCAGAAAGCTCACATAGATGTGTGTTTGAGGAAAAAAAAAAAATTTTTCTGAAATAATTCACATGCAAATACTATTACATGCATGTTTATATTCCTGTCACTGAATATTAGCATCGCCCTCCTTGAAGTAACCTTGTTTGTTATTGTTGACATGAAGCACATTTATAATTCGAGTAAACAATGCATTAACCTTCAATTTTTCATACTGCTAAGCAAAACAAAAAAGCAATGCTTAAATATTCGTAACTGCATATCTAATGTTTACTCTTTAGACAAGAAGAATCAAGAGCAGCAATGGTTATGAATCTTAATATATTTTACTATATATTATTAAATGTGGAGAGGAAAACCCATCGGTATGTCTAAAGATTGGGATCATTGTGTAAGATGGACAATGAAAGAAACGGTAATTCCCAAAGTTTGTCAAGACAAGCTGGTTTTAGTAACTAGTTTAAGTCACTGTAATAGGTTTAGGATTATATTTATTAGTGATAAATGTGGTAATAGAAACAGCAAAATGTTGGATTTGTATTTAAGACCAAACAAGATCTTTTACACCTTAAATTAGTTTTGAACTCTAAAACAGCTATAAAAGAACCAAATATGTTGAATCCTGCTTCAAATCCAGCTGAACATCTGTGAGGAGAATTGAAACCTACACCTGTGAGAAAGAAGCCAATAAATTTTAGATGGCTGCTGCAGTTTGTTCAAAGAGACGGTCAAAGCTACGAACTGAGAAATCTCATAAAGGGTTTAAAAGGCATTAGCAGAGACTGCCTTTATGTGTGCAACAAAATGATGGCTTTGGACGAGCTCCAGCAGTCTGTCTTTTATTTGTTCATTCTGACTCTCCTTCATTCGTTTTCATTTTTCTCCTCTACTCTGTCTTCATTTCTCTCTTTCTCTTTTCTGTTTTAACCCATTTTCCTTTTCCTTCAATCTTAGATCCTCCCTCTCTCTCTCCTCCATAAACTTTTTCATGTTCTGCCTTCTTCCTTTTGTCTGTCATAATCTCTTCCTCTCCATCACAGTCATTCCCTTTCTCTTTCCATCAACATCTGTATTCTTCTCTTTCATTTTCTTTCTCCTTTCTCCTCTCGTCTTCTCCTTTCCCCGCTCTTCTTTTCCTATATTATTTCTTACTTTTGTCTTTCCTTTCTACCTACTTTGACTATTTCCTTTATTCTTCCCTCAACTCCTCCCTTACTTCTGACCTTCTTTAATTCCTTTCTTCCTTTCTGCCTTCTTTATTTCATTCCTTTTTTTCATCCTTCATCCCTTCCTCTTTTCCCTCTTTCCTTCCCGGCTTCCTTCCTTCCTCGCCTCCTTAAGCTGAAGGAAAAATATACACAAATTTAAAAACCTTTGAACACAACCCTGTTTGTTCAACGTTTCCTTCCTCTTTTCTTTTTTCATAAGCCACGTTCATTTTGTTATTTAAAAATATAATATCAGTGTCTCCTCTCCTCTGCAAGCCCAAGAGTTAATTATTCATCCGGTCTATCACTGTAGTTTTTGTTAATTAATGAACCTTCAGAGGGCAAGTTCTTTGTCGTTTTGTGATCCATTATAATTTTGCATTATTAAGAAGTGTATTTAAACATGCTTGCTGTGCAGATGCAGCCTTGGTTCCTCAGAGAATATTCAGACTCTGATAGAGAATCTAACACATTCATGCTAAAAAAATAAAATAAAAATGTAATTCTGGTGATAATACAAAGACCATCAGACTCACAGAGAAGCAGCTGAGGTACTGATGGCTTTATCATTAGCAGACTGATGCCTCAGAGCTCCGAATCACTTACTAATAGAACAACATGTTGCAGCTACTATCTAATGTTTAGCCCATCCAGCTGAAAGAAACACACCCAGTGCAGTTTTATCTTTTTTTACCCTGTGTATTCAAATGACATTTAACTAATTTGGTAAAACAACTTTAGGTCTTCTAACCCCCGTCACACAGTCACACACCTGTTTTTATTTGTTTTTGTTTGACGATACTCAGCTGTCAATAGATAATGTTCTATTTCTGCACTCCTGATACTGAAAATGTGTAATTTAACCTCCAGTCAAGCCAGACAGCCACAGATTCCTTTGGACATGATTTAAAATAACAATGTGGGACGAGCATCTCAACTCAGACATGCAAAATATATATACTGTAAATATGCACCACAGTTTATGTAAGTTCAACACCAATGTTGCAGCAGCGACCCGATAATTACAATGTGCAGCATTATGCAGACACCCTGTTGACATCGTTTGAAGTGGCAGGTCCACCAGGGGAGGTCGTGTGATTTTCTTATTAATTCAGCTATAATTAATACAGCTTTCAGGTCAGGGAGCTTTCTCGGTGTGAAAAGATTGTTGAATTTTGAGCCCTAGATGATCAAATGATTATTAAGTATAGTAGACAAAAATGATACGGGTTACACCTCTGCAAAAATAAATACCAGCATTCTTATGTAGTTGCACATTATATTTTTACGCCTTTCATCCTATTACACAGACTGAATGTAACAGAGGCATAATAACACACATTCATGACAGAATTCTGATCATGTTTATCATTATTAAGAAAATACACAAAATTCGTAAGTGTGAGCTCATGCAAAAGGCATTTTATATGTTCCGACATACATTGCAAGATAGGTACAGCAATGATGATTTTATGCTAAGCGAGCATAGAGATATGTAAAGTTGCTGATGGGACATGCATACAAAATTATAAATAAAAAAAAAAAAAACTTGGAAGAGTTTAAAGCTCCATGTTCAAGAGCAACGTCTTAACAAGCAAAGGAGCCTCAGCCCACCATAAAATTGATGGTTATATGAAAATGACAATGTAGTGGAAATAAGAAATGTCCTCTCCCCTTTTCTTCACCCAACAACAAGATCGTCTGTGAGTTTTCAGGGTTTGTTTTGTTTTGTTGTTCCTGTTCTGTAATTGCTGTTGTCAAGTGATTGTTTGCAGCCTCACTCTTTTCCCAGTCTGTGTCCACATTTCATACCAACACATTGCCATTTCATCCCAACCTGCTTCCATTTCATACGTTGGTTCTCGTTTATATCTGCTTGGTTCTTTTGTTCAATATTTTAAGGAATTGTGACAATAAATGATCATAAAACCCTCAAATCTCAAATAAAATTTGAAACATTTTGTAGGTTATTGAAGGTTTTCAGTTGCACCTTATTGTGGCTCTGATCCTAATTTGGACTGGATCAACTTGAGAAAATATGGCAGGTTATGACATCCGTTTTAAACTAAAGAAACTGATGGAGATCCTTCCTGGTGTATGTCTATCAGATTTTCATAACTAGATTTCATTAAAAAAAATAGGCTTTAAGTAGATTAAAGAAAATTACTTTGAATCATCTCCTGTCAAACTGGGTATGAACTGTCCCGTGGGGGCAAATTATTTGTGGCCGCCATGGCAGAAAACCCTGTTTTCATTCCTTGCGCTCTTCAAATACTGTTTTGCTCTTTCAACTTCTTACTCTTAAAATTGCTCTGTCTTCGTCAGACTGGCACAAGATGCTCCAGACAGATGCACCAGTAACTTTGATGCTGTAGCCCAAATCCGAGGAGAGGCTTTCTTCTTTAAAGGTAACCTAAAATGGGGGTAGGTTGTGTTTTTCTTTAATATTATTATGATCTATTTTTTTTAATATAAATATAGCAGATGGAACATACAGTATTTATCTGGTGCAAAATGATATAAAATGAATTAATTTACAGATGAATTGGTTCAGTGTGGTAAGTAATATCAGGTGAAGATGATCAGCCAACTCATGCATTGTCCTTATAATGTATCTCCTACATGCTGTATTTAATAGATGTTGAAGTATAATATCCAGAAAAGGTTGGTGCTGGAAGAAAAGTGGATTAAGCTGCTTTTATTGCACATAAGAGAATTATCCTGACAAGTCGTATAAGAGAAATGGAAAATGATAAAAAGGATGACACCTGAGGAGCACAGTTGCTTTATTTTTCATGCTTTCCCATTCTAAATATTTTTGTTGTTGCAGTGTAATAAGGGAGATGCATGCATACAAGTGCATGCTTGCTTCAGATTCTTCTTAAGATAACGACAAGACAGAAAACAGAATAACGAAGGTCCAAAGACTAAATCCTGCGAGACACCCGGAGATGGATTATAATACGACTGCCTACCAGGGACTGTAATGAAAGTTTCTGTTTGCTTAAGCTAGAGTCGAGACACAGGAAACGCAAACCTGCTTCCTATAAATTATTTTTTCATCCAAAGTGTAGGCTATGAACTTTTAATTCTCACTGGTAGTTAGAACAGTATCCACAAACAAGAGACCGATGCAGACGGCAGCAGGTGACAGTTTCTGGATTGGAGGGGCAACAAGAGAAGGGGCAAAAAGCGAGAAATTATTTACAAAGACTGGAACAAGGCTAACAGAGACGCTGAGTCACTGCACTGGCACGATGTGGTAGAAAGAGACCCACAAGACCAGGGCTGATTGGATCGGACTTGCAGGTGAAGCCAATCACTCACACACCAGGATGGTGTCTGAAAATTAAGCAGAAGGGGGAAAAGAGAGAGGGAGAGCAATTTCCCCAGCCATGGGAGCAAGAAACTGGCAGGCATGACTGTAGACCCTTTGCAGCAAATGCCTTCTGGCACAAAGTACTGGGGTTACAGCAATAAAAATCACTAAGGAGAGGGTTGGGGGATCTTTTGGGATGAGACCATCACTCTTCTGGGCCATAACTCTTCCAATTCACCAAGAATTCAAGGCTGTGTTCAGAAGCTCTGCTGTCTGCCTATGACATTGGGTGATGAGAGAGAGAGAGAGAGAGAGAGAGGACACAGGAGACTGAAAGAGACCAATTTGAATTGAGACTCATTAAAGGAGGAATGATTGCAAAGAAAAAAGGCAACTTACGGCGGAAGGCTCATCTCTAATTAGCAGAAGAGAAATGGAAAAGTAGAAAGTGCAAAATTTTTGTATTTAACTTTAACAAGTATTTTTGATGTCGCTCAGCCTTTTAATAGGGAACTGATTAAGTTTCTTGTAAAAAAAAAATGTTCATACCCGTTGAACTCTTCCACATTTTATGTGGTGTTGTCGCCATGAACATTGGTATATTTTAAGATTTTATATGGTAGACCAACACACAACAGATTTGCCCAAAGTTGAAGAAAAATTATGTTTTACTCATAAAAATTGTATAAGAGTGACATACCTCTGTAACCCACCCCTTTCCTTCCACGGACAACTCTAAATAAAATGCACCACAAACCAGTTTTGAGGAGTCACCTAGTTAGAATATAGTGTGTGTACACTGTCTAATATATTCTCAATGTGCAATACAAGTTGTGGAAAAGTATAAGCAGGGTTAGGTTGTAAAACAACGGTTCAAGCTTCTCGCAGAGCACATCCAGTTCGTCATTTTGAAAATGGAAAGAGAATCCCATGACTGCAAATCTACAAAGAAATGACCATCTACCTGAACTGACGGGGTGGGTAAGGAGGGCATTAATCAGAGAAGTAGCCAAGAGTCCCAGGGTAACTCTTGAAGAGCTGTAGAGATTCACAGTTTAGCCGTGAGAGTATAAATCTGACCTTTATGGAAGAATGCCAACCAGGAAATCACTGTTCAAAGAAGGTCATAAGAAGAATTTGCATTTTGCCACAAGTCATCTACAGAGGAAAGAAAGTGCTTTTGCTATTTGCAACATATGTTTTTTCTATAAATTATCAGCAAATGTATGTTGGTCTGTCACAAAAAAGTACCAGTGGAGTGCAAAAATGCAAATGGAAATGTGTTGGTTTTCTTTGTCCAGAGCACTGTGTGGATGTTCTGTTCTGCACAGAGCTCCTTGAACATGACTCTGTAACATCCTGCAGGGCAGGATTGGTCCTCCTCTTTAGTTTGACTCTGAGGATATGATCAAGATTTCTTTAGCTCGTGGAACATTATAGCCAGAACTGCACAATTTACCCCGTCAGTGCGGTATTAATAAAGAAAAAGATGACACGTTAAAGCAACTATTTGCTTTGTATTTGTATATTACAAGTATACCACTTGCCAAAGTACAATTGACTATGTGCTGACTAATTAATTATTCAACCTTATACCATGTTAAAACCTTACATCTCAGTTCGAAAATGTCAATAATTACAACAGTCATCTTTTACACACATGCTGATAAAGTTATGGTCTTTGTACGTCTTTCATTTTCATGCAGTTGTTTGATATCTTAAGCTGAATCTTTAATCCTTTAATCCACAAATCTTTAATTCTGTACTTTATTTGACTTATTCATTGGCCATCCTGTCTGGTCACCATTCAGTACTGAAAGATATGACATTTGGTTATGTGCTTTGTCAACCTGACTGAATTAATTTTATCTTATTTAGACTATTTCCCTGCTGAGGTCTTGACTCTACTTTAGCATAAAGTTTTGTTTGATAAGAGAAGGGGAAGGGGAGATTTTCAAAGGGGGCAATTGTATTTGTATTTCCTTTCTTTCCTCCTATACCTTGAGTTTTTATTTAAGCTATTCGTCTTGATTACATAACACCACAAACTGAGCCAGGAGAATGTATTCTGAATTGCACCTCCTTATAAACCACTCTCGGATGTTGTGATTGGTCTATTTTCCATCAAGATGAAAGAAGGCAACATCCATCTGCTGTGAGAGATCTGTCCAGTGTCACAATTTCGGGGGGAAAAAAAAGTGCTTGTCTGCTTGTCTTGAAGATGTTTGAAAAGGTTAAAGGTGTACCTCCTCGGGCTTTTGTTGGATTGTACCAGAAGGAAACAAATAGCGGCGGTGTGGAGGAATAAAAAAAAAATAGAGCATGGAGAAGATGAAAAGAAAAACACTAGATCTGACATGATGGAGTGAACAAAGTGCCCCCCAGGGAGATTGATGGGTGTTACTTCCAGGGATTGGCTAATACACCATTAGGGTGTTGTAAATAAAAATAACCAAGAAGCAGACGCAAAAGGGAAGCAGTGTGTGAGTTAAGTAAAAATACTTTCATGACAAACTAGGAAGAGCTCTGGAATTCCAAGAACAATGTTAGAATGGGACCAAAAAAGGATTCAACTCCACAAGCCCAAATGACAACAATTGAAAACAGGATGGCAAAAGCTGTCCAACAAGAGAAACGGAGATTGAGAAAGGGTTTTCTGGATTAGCAGCAGGTGTGCTAATAGCAAAGAGGGAGCTGCTGGATGGTCAAAATTGCTCCATTTGATGCATTTCCTCATAAATTCAGCTAATAATTATTTTGTCACTTGGCGGTGCTCGCGAAATGCATTCGTTAGATCATAAGGTATAGGGGGAAAAACTTAGACGGTGACATGATGGCGGCAGTAACACATCTTGCCATTACACACCAGAAAACAAATTGTATCCAAACACACGTGCTGTGTACGAAGTGGGCGTACTTTAAATGTTGTCACACTTAATTCAAATAAGTGACAGGACTTTTGCTCCTTCATTTCTTGACATTCAAATCTAGTAAAATTCCCTGTTTAGACACAGAAGTGGTAAAATAAACGGTGAGACAGCAGCTTCAATCAGACTCCAAGCCTCTCCAGTCTTAAACACATTATGAACAAATTCTGCCACCTAAAAAAAGGTTAACACATTAAACAGTATTTTCTGCCAAAATATAAACAATCTTTCCAGATAATTGTTAGGTTCTTTAAGTTGTTTATATCCGTTGCAAATTGTATTTGTTGCTGGAACACCTTATTTTTATTTTTTATCTTTTTATGAAAGCAGCCAAAAGAAATAAAGTGCAGCCAGCACTCCATTTGGCAACATTTCACCAAAATCAACTTGCCTTTTCTTTTAACAACCTTGTTTGGAGAAGCTCTAAGCCAGTCTCTTCTGGTTCCTGTAGGGAAGTACTTTTGGAGGCTAACAAGGGAAAAGCACCTGGTGTCCCTCCATCCTGCTCACATTCATCGCTTCTGGAGGGGGCTTCCTCCCAATTTGGATAGCGTGGACGCTGTTTACGAGAGGCCAGGGGACCACAAAATAGTATTCTTCAAAGGTGAGTATTTACTCCTGATTCAAAGTTGCTTTTATTTTGATTTGCCTGTCTGTACAAGAAAGAAAAAAAAAAACACAACAACATTTGTATAGCTTTGTGAATTCTTTCTTTTATTGTAATGTTTGTGCTGAATCCTCAGGTCAAAAGTATTGGGTATTCAAAGACAATAACGTTGAGGAGGGTTACCCACGTCCAATTAGTGACTTCGGCCTTCCTGTGGAAGCAGTGGATGCAGTGTTTGTTTGGTTACACAACGACAAAACCTACTTCTTCAAAGATAACTACTACTGGCGCTATGACGACCACCTGCGACACATGGACCTTGGTTTCCCCAAAGACAGCACGCTTTGGAAGGGGCTGCCGCTCCAGCTGGACGATGCCATGAGGTGGTCTGATGGTGAGAAGCCACAAACATCTGCACTTCATTATTTTATACTTTTATATTAGCTGAAAGAGGGTAACCTATCATATTCTGCATGCTCTGCAAACCTGTTCAGTGAATTAGAATATTATTGAAAAGTATTTTCAGACTGATGTTTTCAAGCTTTTATTTATGTTAATTATGGTGATTTGTTGTTTGTTTGTTTGTTTACCGTTAATGATAAAAGCGTTGGAAGGTTAGAATAATACACCAGATGGATGCAAAGACCATCTTTAATTTATGGGTTTAATGAAAAGTATGTTTTATACCTGAGGTTATTTTCAAAATCTGACAAACGAGACTCATCTGAACGCTGTGAAATGACAATAACAAACACATGCCACTTAGTAACAATAAGAACCTGCATCCAAGATTTTCTGATCTGTGCTCCACCTTTTCAATTGAAATTAAATTAAATTGCAATTTGATCCTGATTTATACGAACATACAGAAAAGAACTGAATAACATCTTTCATTTCTGATACTTTGTTATATTATAAAATGTAAGATGTGTTTTTATAACTTTCATTTCTGTAGAGGTTATTTTAGCTGCTGGTGTGTGTGCCAATCATTTTTCAATTTCAACAGGAATCCAACCATTTTGACATATATTTATTACTTTTTGATAGGACCAATTTAGGCTCTGATTGGATGTTGTTGTTTTTTTCCCCATATTTTACAAACTGAGTGTTGGTAACTGGGATGTTTGTCCCACATGAGCACAGGTTGTTTCCCATTACTTAATGCCCTATGACTAAAGTCGTCTGCTATAATTAACTTTTGGGAAATGTTTGTTGGAAAAAGGTTCATTTGCAGTTTCACATGATTGAACTATATATTTTTGACATCATTTTTATTCCCATATTATGAGGAGTATTTTTAAGATTTACCAAGTTATGGTAGAGTTTAAATATTTGCTTTTCATTTGAGATTGGCGTTTCCCAATCCAGTATAGAATTTGCCCACTTACAGATTTATTCAGGTTTTTGTCATATTTACATGTTTTGGATCGTCAAACACTTGTTAATATTAGACAAAGATAACCTAAGTAAATATAAAATACAGGTTTTATTAAGGACAAAAAAAAATATTCAAACAAACCTGGTCCAATAGTTCTTTGTTTCTTACTTTTACAGGACTGTCAGTAATTAGGACTGAATATCGCTTGTGAAATTATAAAAAAAAAAAAAATGTGGGCAATCAGAGTTAATTCATAATTTAACAATGGGTCCAATTGTATTTCACGCAGAGCCAGGTTAAGTTGGACAGCCTTTTTTCCCCCTAAAAATTGAAGTCATCATTTAAAAGCTACTCTTTTTATTTAATTTGATGATCTTTGTCTCATAAGTGTGACAAACAAAAACAGAAAATCTGAAAATCTGCAGAAAATCAAAGCACAGGAGGACCTAATGAGTTTTAAATATTGCGTCCCGACAAGTAAAAGACGTTGAACTTGCTTTCTAACGTGATAGAAATCTTAATACTCTGCTCACTCTTTAGTTGGGAAAACTTTGCAGGAAGTCTAATTGAAATTCAAATTTCCATTCGGAACTCTGTTTAAATAGCTCAATTTGGCTCACAAAGAATCCCGTAAAAAACTATGGATGAAATAAAAGGAAGTTTAATGAGGAGTCAGAAACAACACATTTTATTACAAAACAGGATATTAAATGTGGTAGAGATTTTGGCTGCAGTTTGCTGGCAGATCACTTCTTTAACAATACATCCAGACCCCGCTGATTCCTTAACATTTTTAGAGTTTTTGAAAGCCAGGTGGTCAATTTCTATTCCAAGCATTGTTCCGTATTATTTTATTTATGAGTGCATTCTTGCACAAACAGCAGTTATTGTACACGCTCTTGGAAAAGAAGATGTGGCCAAGTGCTCCACAACAGAAGCTATAAAGCACGCTGCGGTCTTGGAAAATAAAATATCTGGACTATAAACCTTTTAGAAACTAGCTGCTGAAGTTTAAGGACTGAAAACTTTTTTTTCAATTACACTTGGTCAATGTAGCACAAGAGCTTTGGTCTTTCCACCATAAACACAGTAAAAATCTCTTGTCAGGTGTCATGAATCCACTAGGTGCCACTGTGAGCTTAGTGGTCCCACAGGGAGCACAGATATTAAAAAAAAATCTAAAATGGGGTGACAGGTTCTCCAATCTAATCAAAGGGGTGAGACAGGGAACATTTCTCCAGCCTTAACCTCTGCACACGGTTGAGTCCATCATGATCCACTCCCCCAGATCTATCTTCTGCTGCAACAACAAGGAATAAAGCAAAGCTTGTTTCAGACTGTTTGGATGCCACCGAAGGAGGACAAAAGACTATAAAAGTAACGGCTGATTTTGCTTGGCGGCTGCCCACTTGTTTCACTTCAGTTCAGTCCCTCAAACTCTTTAGCCCTTTCATCACAATCACAGTTTGCACCCACACAGGCAAACATCAGCATAAACACCCTGTTTCTACATTGTGCTGATTAAGCTTAGGTATGGAAATTTCATAGCAAGCATTGCTATGAAAATTCATACTTTTAATTTCAGCCCTCATTTGTCCAGTTGAATATCACTGTAATTGCACGGAGATGTTTATTCTGGCTGGAAATGGCATTAATGCTGCTCAGGTATGCAGGTTAATAATTTCTACTTGCATAATGAAACATGACTTTTTTTCTACATTTAATTTTTTTTTATTTACAGAGGTGAGACAATTGAGAGCTGGTTCTCACTTAAAACCACAACTTTGGAAGAACCGGCAGTAAAAGCAAATACTACAAACATTATAAATTATAAGGACAGAGAAAAAAAAATCAGAAAGCACCACTTCTATACAATACGTCCAAATGAGAAGAAGGTGCATGGACCATTTGCAGTGAATTATTAAAGGTAATCATTGGGATGTAGGTCTGAAGGTTTAACATCCAATTACTACTTGTAATGTGTGAAGACTTAAACCTCAGTACAGTCTCTCACTTTTATTTCAACAGAACCACAGAATACAGAAGTGTTACTTAGATAGTTTTTTATATTTTTCTTTGGTTTTCTGTCACAGCTCAAACCTTTGCAGAAAGATTCATTTCTATTTATCTCAGTTTTAAAATAAAGGTTTGTGAACACAGTTGTGCTCATCCCAGATATCTCTGTTCCTTTTTGTTCCTTGTCAGGACTTGTAAGTTTTGTTATCTTGCAAAAAGGAATGGACAGTTTTTCTTGCACATTTGTCAGAATTCAATTTCGTTAGAGAGCAAAAATCAAGAGATGGTTAAAGATTTTTCTCTTTTTTTCTTTTTTTTTTTCCCCCAAGTGTTGATTCTCCCATTAATCAATCCCCAAAGAAGAACCGTATCGAATTTGACAGGTTGATCTGGCTTTGGCTGTTAGAGCAAAGAGAAAGAGCTACAGCTAGAAGAAAGCTTGAAATGATGAAGAGAAATCTGTTCATTGGCCTTAAAAGTCAAAATAAATCTGGAGCAAAATTTAAAAAAATTCCAAATGTCGAGTAATTCTACTACATTAACACTCTTAAAACCTATTAATACAAATGTTGCCCTTACTTCTACATATGTCCTTTATATATATTATTCATGCTAAACACTGCGATCTTAGTTTTCTTTGTTAATAGATTGCTATTGGAATAGGTCAAAATGCATTTTTAACAATAGGCTGACTGATTTTAAACTAACTCACTGTCAGATCAGCACATTAAATTCATTGCCTATTATTTTGACAAGGACCTAAGTGCTTCACCAAGACACACTGTGAATTTGAGAATAACTTTAAAACTGTGCTGTGGCTCCGTTTGTGAACGTCTGATTATCCTTTTGGCGATCCAAACCCTCGGTTGTTATTGTGCTGATGAAAAGTTTTCTCCGTCTTTGAATCAGCATAAGAACCGGTGAATTCATCAGACCTGGGATTTATGTAATCTTTGAAGAAACGTAAAAGTGATTGTGGTTTATGTGATAAGTGGTTCTGTGAAACAGGGATTTATTTCTCCGAGATTGAGCCTCCAAACATTTCTCGCTACCTTGTTGATGTGTTTTAATGTATTTCCAACCCAAACATTTATGGTTGCGCACAACATTGATTCAGGATGCTGCGCCGGCTGATTGATCTAATTGCACAAAGCAATTATGTCCTAAAGAGTGTTGTTGATTAAAAATGCACCTCTCTACAATTCATACAACTAAGTTATATTGATTTAAAAAAGAAAAAATGTGTATCCGTGTATAACAGCAGTGCCTGATGTATTTAGAGCCTAAACTAAACTTTATGGCACAAACAGGCATGTTTTTGTTCTCTTCTGGCTGGGATACATCTGTTGTCTGACTCTGTGATTCAGGACAAGCACGTGTACTGCTACATTTTTAGAGATTCATGGATTTATTTTTTTTATTTTTTATTTTTTTTATTTAAAAAAGCTGCAGGCCATTGGTATTTTGTGTTTTTGATTATCAAAAACCTCAGCAGGTCTGCATGTTCCCACACCACAACAATTTTTGTTGAGGTGTGTTGGGTTGACAAATCCTCCCTCCCGTCTTCAGAAACTCCGCAGCTCCTACAGAGTTGCCACAGTTTTCTCGGCTGCTGCTCTGATTAATCTCTCTTTGCCCAGCTTGTCAGTTAAGGTCGACCACCCTGTTTTGGTAGGTCTGGTGTTGTACCACGCTGCCTTTTTGGATGATGAACAGTCGCTTTGCAAGTCAATCCTGCTTCAGCGTTCTCCAGAAGTAAAGCCCGAGCTTTCTGCTGTGCTCTTTGGTCTTCTTCTTTCTGTTTGTTCTCTGATGTTCTCTGTCAAACCTCGGAGGCTTTCACAGAAAAGCAGGATGTGTATTGAGATGAAGTCACGCACAGATGGACTCTATTTACTAGCTCAGGTCACCTCTGAAGGCAACTGGTTGCACTGGATTTAATTGACCATTTTCAGAACGCGGGGTGCTGAATAACAAAGACAAGGATAGTTTCTTTCTGA